CAGCTACTACTGCTGCTGCTGCTACCGCAACCTACTAGTACCACCACGACTACGACTACGACTGACACTACCACTACTACTACTACTACTACTACTACTACTACTACTACTCCTACTACGACGACGACGACGACTACTACTACCACTACTACCACTACTTCGATGACGACGACGACTACTACTTCCACGGTCCTTGCTGCCATGATGATGATCATGGCGACAAAAAGAAGTCATTATACTTACGATAACAATTATGACTGCAACTCACTATTACCATTGTTGTTCGTTTTGTCCCTCTGGCCGTTGTTATAACTGTTCATACTGCATTTACGGCTCCACTATGCTAGTCTTTTTCGTCTGCCTCTTGCTTTTTCTGCCAAAGAAGGCGAGAAACACGGAGCCCAGGCTCTGACCTCTCTCGCCGGAAGTCCTCCAGCGCTGGAAACGACCTCGACGGGGAGGTGGGTCGCGTGGAGGCGACGGGAGGGGCCGGGGATAGATCTCGGACGGATAGACTTACTACGAATGCCAGAAATCCTATAACAAGAGCTAGTATATCTGTTCATGCAATATGCGAACAATGCTAATGAACAAGTACTTGGCCAGGACGAAGGTTCGTCGCAAACGGCAGTCCTGCTAACGTGTACATGAGAACCCCCTTTCCGCGTAGCCTCGTCCACGAAGTACGGATCTGGGGCCTGGACCTTCTAACTTCCTCCGTCTGAACGATATATATATATATATATGTATATATATATATATATGGATGCGTATGTATATATATATATATATATATTCTTTAGAATATGTTTCACGCAACGTGGAAATTCCTCCGCTGGCCACTGGCCAGGGAAAATGCATTCCTTGCACTCCGAGTCCTCCGAGAAACGAAACACGTGCTAGTACGACAAGACTTTCATAGCCATGTCTGATGTATCAAGATTCTCTCAATTTTGAATAGTAAACCCTAAGCCTTAAACCCTAAACCCTGAACCTTAAACCCCAAACCCCAAACCCGAAACCCTAAACCCGAAACCGTTGAATACTTCGAGATCCTGATGCCCCGGCTTGGGAGCAGACAGGCCATCCTGGATCATTCCCGCGTGGTGGTCTCCTTCCCCTCGACCCAGGGCCGCGAGCAAGGGGTTTTTTAGGGGGTTTGGGGTTGTGGGTTTAGGGGTTTTTGGGGGTTTAGGGTTGTTGGTTTAGGGTTTTTATTGGGTTTAAAATAGAGGCCTAAATAAATAATTACTTACAATATTTTGGGGGGTTCCATTATACAAATAGTCAAATGGACCCTTGTTCTAATTATTCAGGCCCCTACAGTAGCGCAATCAAAGCTATTCCGTAGGGTTCACTTCAGGGTTCGATCAGGAGGGTTTAGGGTTACGGGCGTAGTGTGCAGAGGTTTGACCAATTCCCAATACCCTTCGCTAGGGTTCCTTATCTATACTGAAAACTTTAAAGTATAACACACACCACATTCTAGTTCTTGAGGCTAGACCCTAAATGAAAGGCGTGAACGTCTACAACTATGGTTGCCCTTGTAGCAACCTTCATAGAATCCCTGATAAAAGGCCGTAGTGAAACCCTGTGTTGAAGCCCGTATAGAAGCCCTGAGTGAAACCTTCGTAGAAACTCTCTTAGAAGCTCTTCCTGAAACCTGTCCGGAAACCCTAAACCCTGAACCCTAAACCCTAAACCCTATGAGCCCTAAACCCTAAACCCCAAACCCTAAACCCTAAACCCTAAACCCTCAACCCTCAACCCTAAAAACCCTAAACCCTAAACCCTAAACCCTAAACCCTAAACCCTAAACCTGCAGAATGCCACACTCTTGCTGTGCCAGGTGACTACTCGCTCTGCTCGCCGGCCCGTTTTTTGGGTCAAGAGC